GAACTAGTGTTCCAGATGAGGGAACAGTGCCCAAACCCGCTGTCCTTGCAGTAACGGGAAGTAGACAGGTAAATGACTTGCAAAATCACAAGGGAGGAAGCGGCCCTGCCAGTGGGGAAAGCAAAAGTGGAGGGTCTCAGCATCCTTCCTGGACCTGAGTGCTGAGTTCCCAGGCTTGGGTTCTCCTTGAGTCCCTGTCTACACCCTGAAAGGAGCGAGCCGTGAGTGAGGAGAGATAGGGACGCTACACCCTCTCTGAAGTCCATCTGGCTTCATACGGGTCCAGGGCCACCTGCCCTGCTGACATGGGGGAGCCAGGACCAGCACACAGTCACCAAACTACTGTTTCCCCAGCCTCCGTGGCCAAGAATGCTGAATTCAGGGTGGCCAGCAGGAACACTAACAAAGGGATATGTTTTTTGGAGTATTGTTTAAAATATATACATACAGAGTAAAAAAAAAAAAAAAAAACTCTACCTAAAGAAATTAACTTGAAAGCAGACAGAAGCTGCAAAAAGCTCTCTTCCTTCATTTCCGAACTGAAAGGGCCCAGGCTGCCTTTGAAAACAAGTGCCCGCAGCAGGTGTGCTCATTTCCGTGAGATGTGAACACAGCACTGGCTTACTGTTCACATCCCTTGGGAAGGAAACGCTTAACGAGTGTGTTCCATTCACCACGCGTGGGGAGAGCTGCTTTCCCATAGTCCAGGACTTTTTCTTTCAATCCAGAAATTAATAACTACTCACTGTGCCAAGCCTTGTGCTAAAAACTGAGGAACAAAGATGAAGAATTGGGAAAGGGGGCTACTCCAGCCAGCCCTCAAGAGATTTACAGACTCGGTTGCTGGAGACCACTGCTCTTGCTGAATCCCCAGAAGAACCCTATTAGATGGACAGTGCTGTGTTCCCCATTCTTCTGATAAGAACAAGTCTCTCCCTCGCTTTCTAACCCTCAGAATCTCCATCAGTAAAACAAATGACTCGATGAAATAAACTCTAGGGTCCCCTCTGTCTCCATCTATGCTTCTAATTGGGTCAAACCCTGGTTTTCAAAGTTAAAACACAGTTCACTGACCCTTGGACAACACACTCTGAACTGCATGTGTCCACTTATATGTGGATCTTTTCCAACAGTAAATACTATAAAAGAACACTATTATAGTATAGTAGCATATTAAAAAGCAGAGACATCACTTTGCTGACAAAGGTCCATATAGTCAAAGCTATGGTTTTTCCAGTAGTCATGTATGGATGTGAGAGTGGGACCATAAAGAAGACTGAGCACCAAAGAACTGATGCTTTCAAACTATGGTGCTGGAGAAGACTCTTGAGAGTCCCTTGGACTGCAAGGAGATCAAACCAGTCAATCCTAAAGAAAATCAACCCTGAATATTCATTGGAAGGACTGATGTTGAAGCTCCAATACTTTGGTCACCTGATGTGAACAGCCAACTCATTGGAAAAGACCCTGATGGTGGAAAAGATTGAAGGCAGGAGGAGAAGAGGGAGACAGAGGATGAGATGGTTGGATGGCATCACCAACTCAATGCACATGAGTTTGAGCTAGCTCCAGGAGGTAGTGAAGGACAGAGAAGCCTGGCATATTGCAGTTCATGGGGTCACAAAGAGTTGAACATGACTTACAACTGAACAACAATAGTGGTACACAATCCACAGCTGGTTGAATCTGCACATATGGGGCAACCATGGACACAGAGGGTCAACTATAAGTTATAGGCAGATTTTTGGCTGTGAGGAGGGTTTGCACTCCTAATCTCCACGTTGTTCAAGGGTCAACTGTATGCAAGTTCATAATCCTTTGGATGTTAAAGCCAATTCATCCAATTCTGTCATTTGAGACCCAGAGAGAGGAAGAGAATTGTCTGAGGTCACACAACAAAACTGACACAACAGAGACTTTGAAGGTTAGGTTTCTTAATGCTGAAGTCTTGACATTTTTAAGCCCAGACATATATGCACACCTAAACACTAGAACAGAGTCATTTGTCTTAATTCTTTTTTACTGCTAAGAAAAGCAGCACTAGAGGGAGAAAAAATGCCGTCCTCCATCTATACTCCAGCTCCACCCACTCCCAGCCCAGTTTGGGTGCTAAGGGTGCTCTCTGCTGCTTTGAGGGGGGTGCCTAAGGGAACCACTGGGAAGCTTCACCCAGTAGACAGAAATCTCAGCCCTCCCCAAGGCAGACAATGGGACCAGGGCTCACTGAAGTTAACAGAGAAAGCTGCCTCTTCCAATTCCCAGCCACAGACAGGGAAGGGGTAAAAAAGAATGCTGTAAATCAGCCGCCGCATAATCACTCTTTTTGAGAGTTTGCTTGTAATTAGTCTATATTCATGGTGCTGTGTGGGTAGAGGAATCTGCACCCAAGGAAACTCTGGGAACCAACGTGTTTGTTTCCAGGGAAGGATGTACGGGAACCATATGGCAAGTGACAGGCAGCTGGGTTCTCCCCCAGGAGAGCAGTGAGAGAGCCTAAGGCCATTACGTGTACATACACATGCCTTGATAGCACCTTTCCTGCCTCCCCTGGACACGCACCACCTTGGTGGACATCTGTTGTCTGTTATTTACCACCAGAGCTGATGCGTTTTTCTGTCTCCCCTGTCCGCCCAATTCCTGGCACAAGGTTCACATTCAAGAAATATTTGCTGGCTGATTCAATGAGTCAAACCAAATAATTGGGAGGTTTTCTATCTGTCGTGTAGGTTGTATTTTGTCTGGATTTTTTTTTTTTTTTTGCCTCTCCACTATGGCCTAAGATAGTAATTCTCAATTCTGTCATCAAAATCATATTCAGAAGCTGATTTGATGAGTGGGGATGCAGTCTGGGTATTTGTGGCTTGACACAGCAGCATCACCCAGGGGACTCTGACAATGTACTGATAACAGGAGCCATGCTCCAGATGGTCCCCATGTGGAATGATCTACAGATTTTTCAGGTGGTGGTTCTTTAAACTGTGGCTCCTCAGAAGACTGGCCTCAGGAGCACAGGAGTACTTGCTAGAAATGTGACTCCTCAGGCCCCCTTCCAGATTTACTAAAAAGAAACCCCATGAATGTTCTTTTTGAGTTTTTCCCACCAACAAGCCCTCCAGGTGAGTCTGGTATGCCAGAATGTGAGAACCTCCACACTGTATCAATAGAGGCCAGCTGCTTTTTCCCTGAGACGCCAGACCCCATCATGGGGAGATGGGGCAAGGTTCCCCACTTTCACTCAGAGCCTGAGATACAGAATGTATTGCTCAGGACTGCAGGAGCCTTGGCAGCTCCAGGGCACCTGTCACTGTTCTCCTGTTCTAAAAATTGCTACATCTGTACATGCACGAGCTAATAAAAATGTCTTTGCCCCAGGTTGAGAGCTTCATTACGCACTGCCGTGTGCCCTGATTCTTCCCAGTCTTCCCTCGTCAGTGCCATCGAGTGCGCAGCAGGGCAGGCAGATGGATATCCTAGCTGGTCCCACTCCTGCCCTAAGCCAACTAGGACACCCCCAGCCAATCAGGACACCCCCAGCCAATCAGGACACCCCGAGCCAATCAGGGCACCCCCCAGCCAATCAGGACACCCCGAGCCAATCAGGACAGGTCACACAGCCTCCATCACCTTCCACTAGCTCTCTGGGCAGTTCCTTCATCCTCAGGGTCCTGCCTTCATCCTCAGGGTCCTGCCTCTTCACTTGTTCTCTTCATTCACAGTCTACTCCCCTCACCTCCCAGCCTCTGCTCCAGTCTCAGGATCCTATAGCCTGTGTTTGGAACTTTATCCAAAGGCCAGCCCCCACCAAGGGACCAAGTCCCACATGCTCAGCCTCAGGCAGAAACCCCAGGGCAGCTCAATGACTTGCAGTAGAGACAAAGGGTTGAGGGGTGGGGCGCCCCTCAGAAAGACCCAATGGAAGAGCAGGGCCAACAAGAGGAGTCGACAGTTCTCCCAGGCCCTTGCACAATGCGTATCAGGGAAGGAAAGCAGAAGGGAGGCTGCTCCCTGGTATAAACAGAAGAGCACATGCATTGCTCCATCTAATACTTGGGTTCTCATCTTGAATCCGAAGGGACCAGTCACGAAAAATGCAAGCATAATACATACTTAACTGGGCAGCGTGACTGGGAAATCTCAAGACCTTGTACTTGGGGGAAACCCCCAAACCAATGGAAGAGGCCCTTGGGCTGGGAAAGCATAGAGAGAAAACAGAAAGGAAGCACAGAGGAGGATAAAGGACCAAAAGAAGCTGTGACAAGGGTAGTCAGAGCAACAACGATGTAACAGCTGACATCTGTCCAGCCGTGCTACGTGCCAGGCACCAGGCTAGCTTGTTCACCCTCCATACAGCCTCACGAGGAGGCTTCTATGATGGGAACCACGGCAAAAGAAACCTGACCAAGGACACACAGCAGACAGGAAGGTCTACGTACGATTCTGTGATGTTGGCCCTTATCCTGCACCAGATGGTTCTGTGGTCAGTATCCCTCACTCCAGTGCAAGCCCCTCAGTGCCCAGGTCTCCCTGAGCAGAAAGGCATGAACATTCAGCCCTGCTGTGTTGTTGCAAGGATTAAATGCATCAATTGACTTGTAAGACTGAATGCAAAGCCTCAAACCTAGCAAAGCTAAGTCAGCCCTGGTTGTGAAGAGAAGACAGATGATGATGACAAGGAGATGTTGAGATGTTTTCATTCACTAGATAAGCCTCAACTGCCAGCCAGACCTGGCAACTCATCAGCATTCAGAAAGCCTGCTTGGTTGAAGGTGTGCAGGCAGGAAAGTAGGTTTGAAGATCTGTGGGGGGCTCAGTTTGAAGATCATCCCCAGGCCCCAGTCTTCCCCACTCGGGGGCCCTGAGCTCCATCATGGTCTGTCCAGCCTCACAGAGCATGGCTGATACCCCTGCCACTGGCAGGACCCATGTTAATGCCCTCAGCTCACGTGTGCAGTGTCTTCTCCCTCTGCCTGGCTCCTTCCTGGAGCCCTGCCTTCAGGGAGATGTTTTCGTCTCAACCAGAAATCATCAAACAGCTTCTTACTAAGAGCCTTGAGATCACAGCACAGAGGCAGAATCAAATCACCCTGCAGGGGCCCCAGGAGAAGGTCAAAGTTACCTCCCCACCCCCACTAGAAACACTTGCGGACTCGCAGCTGGCTGAGACGACTGTCAATCCTCGCTTGAAAAACAGAGGTAATGAGCGTTCCCCAGCTGGGTGTTGTGAACAGTAAGCAAGCAAGGGTGTGAAGGCTCACCCTCCTCCTCCATCCTTTAACCACGCAATCACGGGCACAGATACAGTTTCACTTGGTTACTGTACCATCCAACCCAGTGAGCTACCTCCAGACTTCCTCTCCACCCTGGTCTGGGCCCCGGGACGCTGCCCTGTCCCAACGATATCACTCAAGGTGCATCCCGTGGGAGACGCCAACAAGAGATGGGAGCACAGAAGGAGAGTAGAGCGAGGCTGACTCCCAGCTCTGATCCCAGCTGCTCTGGTCCTGAAAGCCTCGGCTCCTGTCCTGGCCCCCATCCACACTGACAGCTGCTACTAGGTCCTGGAGCATCCTCTCCCCTTCTTGTTCAGGTCCGGGATGGTAAAGACTCCCCAGTGCTGCCCCAAAGTGTTCCCTGTCCCTTGCTGATTTTCCCTTAACCATCCCTGAACAGCTATAACTAGTCCACTTATTGACTGGTCAATTTTTCCATTTGACAGCACCATCTGCTTCCTTCCATCTGCTTCCTTCAGAGACCCTGACCAATGGCCCAGGCTCCTCGTTGGGTTCACAGCATTTGCCACCATTAGAAGCACATCCTTTGAGACTCCCCATTTCCAAGAATCCTCCCCAGATTGTTCTTATAATACATCTCTGGATTGACTTTCCACACACCATTTAGCTTGTGTCATCCTCTCCCTCTCACTCCAGACATCAATCCATCCCCAAGACTCTGCCCACCAGCCAAGGGCGGGTGCAAGCTCTCCCTAAACCCCCTCTGTGCTTCCCTCAACAGCTAGGACAAGCCGTGTGTTCTCAGATGTTTGAGAGACCAATAAACATTCCCTCCCTTGCTTACACCCAGAGAACATCACTTCAGCACTTCTGTTTTAAACACCAACCATTCTTCACACTGACCTTTTCTCAGTCCATGACTTTCAAGAGGGGCTGGCCTGGGGATGTGCCTGCCATGGTCTCTCCCCAACAGTCCACCAGGGAATGCAGAGCAACACAGAAGTCAGAGCCTCAGTTAAGATCATCTGCCCCATCCCCTCATTTTGCCAATGGAGAAGTGGAGACCAGATTGCTTAAGGGATTTCTCAAAAGCCACAGGTGAGTCTGTAGGTGGAGACGGACCAGCCCCACTGCCTGCAAGGAGCCCTGGCACTTGGTCTTGTAGAGAGACCCTCACATATCTTGGCGCTTCTTTGACGAAGGTGCCTGGAAATATGCTCTGGGATTTTATGAAGCTGGAGGAATAACATGCTGCAGCTTCCTGGAGGGTATGATCTCTGCCAGGTTTCAGGGATGAGGAGTAAAGAAATTAAGTGCACACAGAGCCAGAACTAGGGTGAGAGGAGTGAGGCAGTAGGCTCAGGTGCAAAATTTAAAGGGGCCAAAACATTCGGTAATCAAGATAAAGAATATCTTAATGTGACATTTCTTGAGATCGAAGTTCATGCCAAGAGATCCATGACAAACAAACTATCACAGTTTTAAATAAAGATCAGAACTGCTCCTGCACTGGCACAAGCCTGCCTCACTCACCTCACCCTAAACTAACCCTCTGGCCATTTCTGTCTCTGCCCAACCTCTCACTCGGGGCATTCAGCTCCTTTCCATCCAAGAGTGTCCACATCGTCAGCCTGCAGCAGGAATTTCCTGCACCGCAGTCAGTGCTCATTCTTGAGTCAACTACCCACAAGGCTGTCAAAGGACTTCCAAGGCAGTGTGACTAATGGAATGTTTGTGATTGAAAAGTGAGGAAAGAGCTCTCAGCGATCTGCAGTCCTTAATTACATGGAGCAAACACCTCCTCAAGGACAGCCATGGGAGCCTGTGTCCATCTTTGCTCCCAGCCTTCCTTCCTGCCCGCTGCTCAGCACAGAGAAGGAAGAAGCCAATACCTGCGCAAAGAATAAGCAAAAAGACCCCCAAGTCTACCTGCCTGGGATGATGGGACTGTGCCTGATTCCGTAGCATCAATTTCTAATTTATACTCCTGGTCCCAGATTCCTCTTAAAAACCTGTGTGCTGTGTTCATTTTGAAATACCAATGTGCTTCCAAGCTGTGGATCAGATCAGGAGAGGTCATGCCTCCCAGTGGGCCTCCAGTCAAGTGTAGGGGAGCTTCAGGCCTGAGTGGACACTGACTTCTCAGGGGAGGCCCACGGGGGTGGAGACCAGAGGGCTGGGGGCAGAGCACAGCGTCTATTCCTGTTCCTTTCCCTCCATGAGCCACACCTTCCTCCCCTTCTGGCCTCCCTGCCTCCAGTCTGGCCCAGACAACCTCCCTTCCTCAGAGAAGCTTTTACCAAGCACTGCCAGGCCCCGCCTTGACCTCACAGAACGACCCTGGTATTGGAGGCCTTCTCTGATCTCATCCCCCTCACCCCAACAGCTATGGATGTTCCCCAGATTGAAATCTCTGCACTGCTTCAAGGACCCCTGCAGGCAGACCTGGCTCTTTTCTAGCACCACCCTCATCCACCCCTGGGCCCATACCCACTTCCATACGCACACTTTCCCTCTCTCATTCAGGTTTATCAAACATCAGCTGCGGAGGAGGCAATGGCGACCCACTCCAGTACTCTTGCCTGGAGAATCCCAGGGACAGAGGAGCCTGGTGGGCTGCCGTCTATGGGGTCGCACAGAGTCAGACACGACTGACACGACTTAGCAGCAGCAACATCAGTTGAAAGCCTACTGTGTGCCTTGGAGAGGGAACAAACAACTTCACTGAGCACTTATCACATGCCAGGTCTTTATTTAGTCTCCTTCCGTCTTGAAATTCATTTCATCCTGATGTGGAGACATTATTATTACTCCCAGTCATTATAATTATACAGTTATAATAATTATTTAATTATAAGTGCATGTATCACATGATATAATAGTATAATATGATATAATATAACAACATGTAAAATATATATAATTATAATTATATTCTTCTATGATTATAATAATTACTGGTTGTTATCATTACATATTGAAGTTAACAGAGGCCAAGAGAGGCTAAACAACTCACCCAGGGGAACTCAGCATTCACCCGGTCTCCTAACTTTCCACTACATCCTCTAATCCCCTGTCCACCTGTCCAAACTCAGCCCATCCAGATCATAGCCCATATCTGCTCAGCTGCTATCTGCGTTCATCAGGGCTCTACTGGGGATAAAAGATGGTGACACATTCCAACAAGTTGTGAGGGAGACTTTGATAAAGCACCTGTTCACGTAGGTGTAGGGAAAGACACCAGAGATGTTCAGGGCAGGACCCCAGGGCTTGGGACCATGGGGAGTCATCAACCAGCAACACAGGCCTGAAAAGGGGAGGGAAGGGATGTTCCCAGAACTCAGAGCTAGAACTAGACAGAAAGGGCTGTGTTGCAAAGGGTTCTGTGACTTTATGTCAATAGATGCAGTCAGTTCTCAGGCTCGCGTGGGCGGGGAGCTCACTCTCCTCCCATCCCCCACCTCCTCTCTGATCCCACCATTGACCAAAATCGATAGGAAGCCAGAAGGCAACAGGGCAAAACGATGTTCCAGAAAGATCAGTCTCTCAAGCCAGAAAGCCAGGGGCATCCACTACTGTCTGGGTGAGAAGTTCATGCCGCCAAACCAAAACACAGTTCATAGAAAGTCCCGTCAGCTACTGAGTCACTGCAAGGTAAAGTCAACTGGACCATCCTCTCACCTGAGTCCTTGGCCATCAGGCTCCAGTCTGGAATCACAGGTTCTTTCTCTGCCACCCATCTCACCTCCCCCTGACCCTCGGCTGGGGAGGGCTCTTTACCTTGAAGGTGAACCAAGCCTCATTTCTTTGAGGTCAGAGTCCTCAGTGGTCTGGTTCTGACTGGGTTGCCAACAGTCAGGCTGGCCAGGACTTTGGAAAAGGGAGTATTAGGAGGCACCCCAGCAAACCCCCTGGGTTCCAAGCATAAACTCCCTGCCCACCCCATGTGCTGTAGCAGCAACCCAACTCGCCATGGAAACTGAGGTCACTTTCCTAGGGTCAGTTCAGTGACCCCCTACTTTGCCTGCTGGTTTTGCAGCACAAGGAACCACAAAGTCCAAAGGATGTTTTAGCTTCCTGTTCCTAAAATCCAGCTGTGTTTCCTGGTGGAACAATCCCTTCCTTGGGCACTGGGACCTCTCAGTTTAAAATCATAAGAATAAGCTCTACTCAGAATAGAGCTGTGTTTAAATACATTACCACACTTTAACTCTCAGTACAGCCCTATCAGATGAACACCCAGTATCCCCGTCTGTGAAGGAGAAGACAGAGGCTCAGAGCAAGGAATTAATTTTCCCAAATGAAACACAGAGGTACCATTTGACCATTGGTATGGAACTCTAAAGCTGCCTTTACGGGACTTAATCCAGTGGCTAAGACTCCAGTCTCCCAATGCAGGCGGCTTGGGTTCAATCCCTGGTCAGAGAACCAGATCCCACCTGCCACAGGTAAGAGTTCACATGCCGCCAACTAAGAACCGGCACAGCCAAATAAATAAAAATAAAATATTTTAAATAAAAACTAAGGTTGCCTTCAGGCTGGCACTGGTTGCGTTCCTTCCAAGTGAGAGATGTGTATGTGCATGCCCAGACAGAAAGACAGACAGCTTTTTGGACTTTTAGGTGCCATAATCCACCTCCTTCCCTGCCCTTTCATCAGCAGGCCCCACACACTGCAGAACCGTGTGAGCAAAACATTCTCTTTATCGTCTGCCAGGTGTCTGGTGCCTCAGGATTCCTCTTCTGGACTGATCAGACTCAGCCAATCACCGGAAAGAGGCTCTTGTTGAAAAAGCTGCAGCCCCCTTCGGCTCCCCCAGTGCTGACTGCACCCCCCCACCATGCTGGGAGGTCAAGACGGATGAGGGCGGGCGCCTCTCTGGAGCCAGGTTTAATCAGAGATACAGCCTCCAGGTGAATCACCTTTGCAAGGCCTCCTTGCCGTGCCCCTTCAAATTAAAAGAGCTCCCTCTACTAATATATTGATTAAAATGAAATATTAATAAGCTGACCTCTATTATTTATCGGCTGTTTGGGGAGAAAAGAAAAATATCGAGATTCGAAGAGAAATCAATTTCCCCAAAACCACCCTTCCCTGAGCAGACTGATCCGTGTCACATAATAAAGAGATAAGCTTATCGGCTGCATCAGTTCAAAGACGTGTGCTGTAAATGTTGATTTTGAACCAATAAGAAGATTATAAACACTGTCATAAAATATCTTTCCGGGATGTAAATTATTCAAAGCCCTCCGTGAGCAGACACAGTATCTCATGCCTCAGTGATCCCCGTTCTCTGCAATACATTTCACTTATTAAAGTCAGAGAGGGCCTCTGTTGATAAAGCCCCCTAAATAAATGATAACCTTCATCTCCGTCTTCTAAATTATTTCCACGACTAGAATTCAGAATGTTTGTACCACAGGTGCCAGGAAGTACTGCCTTCATGAGTGATGTGTATATCTTCATCGGGAAGCTCGGTTCAGGTAAGGGCTGAACCCCTAGATTCTTCAGCCGGGCAATGGCTTCAGCAATGCATACAACCCTGGGGGCTCAGCTTTACAAGGAGGGAAGGGGTGATGCAAGATGAAAGGGACAATGTGATGAAAAGGCTTGGACCCCTAACCTGCCTCGCTAGTCAGGCTGAGTTGTCCAAACTGTGTGAGTTGGACACCCAACTCCAAAAGTGAGTCTCTTGTTACAGGGAGGTGGGTATAATATGTGTACCCACCAGGCACAGGGTCTGACTCATAGCAGGTTCTCAATCGATGACCACGGTAGGGACCTTATGGGGAACACTGCTCCTCATGCCCTCAAGACCTCCTGGAGCCTCATTGAGTTTCCTGGGCTACTCTGCCTGCCCCAGCAGGTACCTACAGCAAGCCCACCTTGGATTCATCTCTGGCCCTTGTTCACGTAAAAGTCAGATCATCTTGCGTGCATATGTGTGTGCGAAGTCGCTTCAGTTGTGTCTGACTCTTCACAACACTGTGGACTGTAGCCTGCCAGGTTCCTCTGTCCATGGCATTTTTCAGGCAAGAATACTGGAGTGGATTGCCAGGCCCTCCTCCAGGGGATCTTCCCCACCCCAGGACTGAACTTGTGTCTCCTGCATCACAGGTGGATGTTTTACTACCAAGCCACTGGGGAAGCCCCCAGATCATCCCTATTTATTCTTTAAGGCCCAATTCAAATGCCACCTCCTCCAAGTAGCCCATGATTTCCTCACTTGGGTTCTTTCCTTTTCATCCTTCCTCAAATGTTTATGGCATGCCCATCCTGTACTCCAGCTCTTTCCAGGCAACATCTTATGTAATTTTCATTACTACCCTGCAAGTACTATTGCCCATATTTGATAGAAGAAACATTAGGCTCAAGAGATTAAGTGTCTTGCTCAGAGTCACACATTAAGTAAGTAAGGCAGCCAAGATGTGAACCAAGTCTGGCCAGAACCCAAAGCCCGTGCGCTTTCCTTTCTTTCCCATTGACTGTCCTGCTGCCGGACTCAGGGCTCAGCGCTTCCTGCCTGGGCTCCACTTACCCCCTGCTCATGCCTCCGCTCTACGAGAACGGGCCCGCGTCCCCACAGCACCATTCAGCCTCCCACATGGAGCCCTCAGGCCAGGTGCGGCACAGGGCCCAGAGCTCGTCATGGACACTCCATCTGCCTGGCAGCTCCATCTGGACTCCCAGCTGGACCAGCCCCCCGTCACTCACAAGACCCCAGTCCCTGCTGGCCACCTCCAGTCCAGGACTAGGATGAGAGCAGTAATCACATCCACTTCTCCCACTTCCCCATTCACCATTCTCTGCCTCAGTTTCTTCATCTATAAAATGGGGGTAAAGAGCAGTACCTATTCTAGCAGCAGTTGTGCAGATCAAATGAGATCACAAATGTAGAAGGTTTTGAACAAGCCTGGCACATAGAGTTCATGCTATCGCTGTGACCTTAAAGGTTTCTGAGGACTTGGTTCTGACTCCCTAGTCACGCGCTTCCTACATGGCACTGAGCATTGCGCATCCTGAGAACAGAAAGCCTGGCATACAGTGGACAGTCTGGGGATTGTGAGTTGCTGGTAAATTCTTTCATGCTATCCAAAGCACCGGCTAATTAGCGTTGGGTGCCACTACATGGGAGACAGGAGGGGGCTGGGCTCTGCAAGCAGGCAGGAGGCTGAATCCTGCCTGTGACAGCTTCCAGTGGACAGTCCTGGAGGAGTCACTCAATCCCCACCTGAGCCTCTACTTTCACATCTATAAAATGGGGCTTTGGGACAGGGCTAGATGCCAAAGCTGCTGAGTCTCTGTAGCTAGAAAGAGAATATGTCCCCAAAGTGTCCAATGCAAACCAGGGACACCATGAATGCTCACTCCCTTCCTCTCTTCTACTGATTCCTTTCCTCTGTCTTCTTCTCTTTACCAACTGCCTACCTGTGGGTCTCCTGTGTCTGCATCCTTCGGTATGAAGATCATTGATGAGGCACTATATTCCACCGTCTGCCTGTGTGTTCTGGGTTTCATGTGTTGACCCATTGATCACCTTGACCTTATCTTTTCTGGGGGGGTGGGTGGCACGGCGATAATAAATGCTTCAGAACCAGGGATTAGAGGCTACCTCACCTTGAGTGACAGCAGCTGCTTCAACAGGTCCCATAAATGCCCATGGAAGGAATATTCCCATCAACCATGAAATGAAATATTTGGCAAAAAGGAGATCCCTAAAGCAAGCCATAAAACACTTGACTTCCTCCATGCTATGCAGGTTATATCCATTATTCTCACCCAGTACTTGAAAAACAAAATGGTGGTTCATCGTGATGATACCAAACCAAGAAATAATTGCCTCACAAAAAAGTTTTACATGCTCCCATACGCACAACATATAACACACACACAATAAAACATCCAAGAACTGCTGGCAGTGTGTACAGAGATTGCAAATTTCCTTGAAAATGCATCTGAAAGAATGGGTGCTCTGAATTACCTACTGCCCGTAACACAGACAGCATTTGATAAATTTTGCTCCCAGAGCAATCCTGCCTTGTCAAGAGATGACAATCAGACATGCGAAATAAATGCTATGTATGAATTTTGCAGAAGTATCACTTTGGGAAAACAGAAACCAAAACAAATTGAGAAATCATATAAATAATTACTCTGAGCTTCAACTCTAACAAGAAGAAGGAAGAAACATGAGCAGAAATGCTAATTAATATGACTGTTTAATTATAGGGGCACAAATTAATAAACCGGAGTTACTGCAGTTTTCCAGCAGGCAGCTCATCTCTGCATGTGACCTCAGAGGTGTGGGCACAGTGGGGAAAGGCTTCGGTTTCCTTTGCCAGGTGCCCAGCTGGAATGGCATCAGGAAAGAGGAAGGCTAAGCCCCCTTGAGGAGGATCCACTCCTCCCAGCCCCGTTCTCTCTGCCCAGACACCATGGGCCCTCATCAACGTTAGCAGGTGCCAGCATCCACCATGGCACCTCCTCTAATTAGCACATCATTCCTCATGCATCGACGAGGGCCCAGCCACAACATGCTGAGGACAAAATGCAAACCAACACAACTAAGGCGCAGGATTTCTTAAATAGTTATTGTATACCAGGCTGTCCTTCATACTGTTTCCTAGTTTCCCGAAATATCACTTCTGAAAAATCCATGTATGTCAATTGTTTTACATGTCTGATTGTCAGTTCTTGACAAGGCAGAAGGGCTCTGGGAAGAAAAAATACATATCAGCCTCAATCAGGTGCATGTTATAATCTACATTAAAGCCATCATTCCATCATACTGCTGGGAAAACCGAGGATCCAAACATCAGCTAATCTGATTTTGCCAAAACCACAGGACTGAAAGACAGAAGTTTCTGGATTTAAAACTCTGGGCTTTTGAATTCAAAGTCTGTGCATTTTTAAATACAGTAAGCTTCCTTCTAGAAAGCAAAACTGCTTCCATCTCTCATCTCACAGTTATAGCTTTTATTTGATCTTTTTTTTTTTTTTCATTCAGTAAACTCAGTCTACGTACTATGTGCCAGCTTTGGACTATGTTCTCAGAATACAATGGAGAACAATAGTGGATCTAGAACCTACTTTCAAGGAGTTTACATAAGCAGTAAGGGAGAATGACGTAGATAAAATAATCACATGGGAAAAAAAAAGGAACAGATTTCCCGAGCTTCCAATCAGGGCCACGGAGAAACAGGGCTAGGAGGACTTATAAAAGTGAGGGTCAACTGGTCAGGAAAACCTCCCCTGAAGAAGCAATGGCTGCAGTGTGATCTGAAAGCTGACTGTGAATATATAATATATACATAGAGAGAAAGATATATATGAATATAGAAGAATTTTCTATACTTGCTCTCTGGTATCTTCCCGTCCACTAACTCCTTCAACCTGCTCCAACCTAAGGTGTCTTCTGCTCCCATTCTGACATAGAAGTTCGTGTGATAAGTTTCATGGACATTTTCAATCCTCAATTTACTTGAGCCTTCAGACATTGTAGACAGAGTCGATCACTCCCTTCTCCTTGAAATCATCTCCTCCTTGCCTCTGACTCAGCAATTTACTGGTCTTCCTTCTATCTCTCTGATTCTCCCTGAAAACTGCCATTACTTCAATATTCTCCTCTAAGCAGTCTTCAAGCCTTAATCTTGGGCTTTCTGGTTTCATATACAAACTCATTTATGCCACATTATTCACACTCTGCTGTATTTCTACCACAGCATTAGTCTACTGTCTTCTGTCTCAAATCTGTCTCTAGCCCCAATCTTTCTTCTGGACTCCAGATCTGTGTTTCCAAACTGCCTGATGGACAGCAGCCCTTGGAGGTCTCAAAAGCACCTGAAACTCAGTGCAACCAAAACATCTTGGACCCCAACTCCATCTCAGCACCATCTATCCAATTCAAAAGCTAGAACACCCATGATCTCTTCTCTTCCCTGCCTTATAAGAGAGACTAAATGATGGTCCCCAAAGATGTTCAGGACCTAATCCCTGGAACTAGTGAACCTGTGTTACCTTACTGGCAAAGGAATATTGAAGATGTGATGAAAGAATCTTAAGTTATCTTCAGTCTCAAGACAGAGAGATCATCCTGGATTATCAAGGTGAGCCCTAAATGTAATCACAAGAGTCCTTACGAAAGGGAGGCAGAAGGAGACGTCATGACAGAAGAGGACAGGGTCGTGTGATGATGGAAGCTGAGACTGGACTGATGCAGCTACAAGCCAAAAGAACCAGCAGTCACTAGAATATAGAAGAGGAAAGAAACAGATTCTCTCCTGGATCCTCCAAGAAGAACCAGCCCTGCCAAGACTTTGATTTCTAGCCCTTTGAGACTTATTTCTACTTCTGGACGTCGGGACTGAAATAGAATAAATGGCTATTCTTTTAAGCTTTAAGTGTGCAGTAATTTGTTATAGCAGCAATAGAAAACGAATACACTCTACTATAACATATATACTACCAAGTCTTCTTTATTTTCCTATCCAAAAGTTCTCAGATGCATCTGCTTTTCTCCATCTCTATAGGCCCTTTCCTGGGAACAATCTTCCATAATCTCTCAAATGGGCAGGTGCCACAGCCTCTGGCTTTCCATGCTTTCCGGGATTTAAAAAAAAAAAAAAATGTTGACATGGCCCACATGCACGTGCTTGTCCTGGCCCCTGTCTCCCATCTCAGGCTTATCTTGCACACCAGAAAACACTGGATTTCTTTCAGCCTTGGGAGGATACTAATCCCTTGCCCACCACAGGGCTTTTGCACAATGTTTTTCCTTGGCATGGAATGCTTGTTAACTTTAGATCATAGCTGAAATGTGATCATAGTCTTTCTGATCTCCCAGACTGGATCCATCCATCATATACAAAGAGCGAAATTTTACATTAACATGCCAGATTGTAAAATTAGACAATAGGATGGTTTACATCTAACTCCCCAGTGAGCTAGCAAGTTCTCAGAGAAGAAGGTGAGAACAGGGTAATGGCTAGTTTTGTCCACCACACTTGCAACACACCTGGCAAAAAACGAGTACTCAACAGATACATCTGAATGACTGCCAGTACCAAGGAGAGTGTCTTTGGGCAACTACGTAGACAGGGTTGGTGGTAATCCTTGGCTTGTCCCCTCCCTTCTAGACATGCAGTTGGAGAAAGCGGCAGGGAGTCCTCATAAGAAGGACCTGACCAGCAATGGCCAAGAAAACTCCAGAAGGAGAACTTCACCCTCCTAAGCACCATCTTCTTCTCAAAACAGAATTCTGGGTAGGGTTATTGTTAATCTAGTATCACAGGAGAGAATGTGTTGAGTTTTTCTTTGCCACTTAGCCTATCCTCTCTCTGATTCCAGCCCAGTAAAGTTTCCTTGGCCATTTTTCCTCCAGTTTCTTGGATGAAAGCACTTTGGAAATGATCTAATAATAGACGAGGGTCTTTAAACAGCTCCCTACGCCCCACAGTTCACCTGAAGGCTCAGCACAGACCACACGGGGTTGGAGGTGGCTCTGCGCTCAACCACGGGTTCCTCTTTCTCTATTTCATACACTGGGATGCCACAGAGAAATTTTTGTAAAAGCTTTTTGTAACTAGAAATAAAAAAATTTTTGTAGAAACCACCATTATGTTA